TATGAACAGGAATCCCAGTCTGGATCTTATCCTTCCTGTCCTTACGTTAGATTTCCAGTCTGTATTAGAGATTTCACTAGAGGAAAAATGGAAAAAAGAAGATGCAGTTGATACAGATCTGTAGTAATGTCTGTTGTTCAGAATGTTTACCACCTCAAAAGGACGCAGAACTATCCAATTTACAATTTTGTTGTGAAGCAAAAATGTTCAGAGAAACCCAGGTAGAAACTTGGATATTTCATGCAATATCTGGCTTAGTAGAAGAATTCATTTTGAGGAATTCTGAAGTCTTTGAAGGCAAACCTCAATTTTAATTAAGAGCAACCTTTTTAACTAGGAAAACATTAGCAGGCTAATAGGAGCTCAAGTAGGTCTTTAATGGGTAATAGCTGTAGCTGTTACATTGGGGGAAAAACACTTTGGCAACAATTGACAAGGTCACTGTCACTGGCTTATTTACGTGATGATTAATTCAATCCAGACACACTTTCACTCCTTCCTGATTAACTGCCCTCTCCAACTTCTCATCCAAAGTGGGTAGGTTTTCCAAACAGAAGTAAAATGTATTTGTGTTATAAATGATTTGTTCAGTGAAATAAAGATTCAGTGTTTGAATTGTAATACTATAAATAGCCTGCATAATGTTCACTTATTTTTATAAAGCCAAGCTAAGTTAAGCTAAGCTAAGCTTTAGGAATTGACAAATAGAATTTTGTTTTCTCAGGACCCATCTGTCAATCCCTTCTTCTGTTCTTTGTCCCATCCCCTGCATACACCAGATTTCTTTTGCTTTAAAGAATAGTCCTTAATATCCAGCCATACTAGCTGCTTAGAATTTCTTCAACTTTATTTTCACTACTCCTGAGATTCTAAGGAGCAATTTGCTGGCATATTTTTCCTTTTGAAATATTGTCCTGATCAATATTAGCATAGTACCTTCAAGTTTATTGCCAGCCCAGTGTCCTGGAGTTTGAGCTTGATAAGCTGCCCAACAGACTCATGATGCCTACCTCCCTTGCCACTGCTTATTGTATGCATATATCTATTTAAAATATTTAAATCCTGTCCTTCATTATCAAGTCACAGGGCCCTTCAACAGGGATCCTCAAACGTTTTCAACAGGGGTCCAGTTCACTGTCCCTCAGACTGTTGTGGGGGAGGACACAGACTGCACATTAAAAAAATAAAATAAAACATAAGTTAAAATGTAAACATTAATTAAAACGTTAAAAATGTTTGATTGCTTGCTCTTAGTAGGCAACAGCAGAGGCGTGGGAGCCCCGCAGCTTTCTCCGAGTAAGCCACTCCGCCTCAGCCTGTCCACCCTGGGCAAGGTGAGGTGGCTGCAGCTGCTTGATTCGTTGGAGAAGACCGTGCAGCCGGGCCTGGGGGCAGCAAGGCGGTGGCAGGCCTGGGTGCAGGCATGGCAAGGCAGCGGTGGGTGCAGCGGCGGCAACTTGCTCCCTTGGAGAAGGCCACACGGCCTGGCAACCCCCAGACTTGCATAATTAAAAATAGATTTTAAAAAGGTCTTTTTCTTACCTTCAATCCTTTTTTTAGTTTCTTCGTCTTCGTCTTTCTCTCTCTTCCGCCCGCCTCTCTTCTGTTTCCCATTCCGTATTCCCGCTCTGTATATACATGCAATGGCGGGGGGGGGGGGGGGGCGGGGGCACCCGCAGTTGGGCTGTTGCAATTTGGCTCATGCGCTGGCTCTCTCTCTGCTCTGTTTTAAAGAATGCCTGTGCCACCTCAGAGCTTTTGGACTCGCTCAGAGATCGTTTTCTCTGAGTGAATCCAAAACCTCTGAGGGGGGACAGATAAATGGTCATGGCAGGCCAGATCTGACCTTCAGGCTGTAGTTTTAGGACTCATGCTGTCCAAGATACACCACAAAGATGCAGACAATGGCTGAGAAAACTACCAAAGCCAGTATTAAAACCAGCAAATCCCTGAGTATATAGATAAGTTTTCAGCAGAACCTAAACATCATTAAGCATGGTGTTTGTGTTAGACACATGACCTGAAGCATTTTAGAATATATTTATATCTAACCATTAAAAGTGAGCCAGAGTAGCTATGAGGTGGAGGACCACACTAGATTGGTTGCGACTACTGTAAGTATTTTATCCACATGCCTCCTCCATTCACATGATAAACAGCTGGAAGCTGGGCTTCTTTTATTACCGCTTCTATACCAAGATAATTGTATGGGCAGGGCAGAGGCAGAACCTACCCCTTTTACCTCATTGTGCTCTGATGCTTTAAGCTGTTCTCTTTTTCCATATAAAGAATAGAAGTGTCCTGGCTCTTCTGAGACAGACATGCATCCCTCCTTCCACATCAAGTCTAGACATCAGCTGTGAGCTACAAGATTTCCCGGTTCAAATCTTATGTTTACTGTTGCCTCATTAGGCAGACTTAACCCATAGGTAAAGGATCTTTTTTTCTGCCATTGGCCACCTTCCCTCAGGAAAACATTAACAGGGTTCTCATGCTAGTGGTGGGCAGGCTCAGAGCCAACATCACTCTCTTTTTGGGTCAGCCACTACTAGCTCAAACCCAATTAATTAGGATTGACTTATCTGCCCTTGTGTTCATTACTTTACATTAAACTGCACTTGACATTCTGATGATCAGATGTGGGGAGATTTTTGGTGCTCCTTACAACCCCTTTCTGTTTAACCATCCTAAATGGTTTGCTACTATTAACAAACTTGGCAAACTCGCTGCTCAGCTCAGATCATTTATGAACAATTTAACAATTTACAAAGCAGGCTTGAAAAAAGGGCTTCTTTGATGGATTTAGTGGTGATTTCTATCTTCTGCTATTCGAATTCCTTTTCCTGTGCAAAGGCAAGGTCTGATCTCCCTTCAGATTAGGATTTTTTAGGTTTTATCCCCTCTTATATTAGGAAACACAGTAGTGGATTCATGAGTGTTGTTAATGAAGGTCTAACTACTCTGTCAGCCTCACTTCCTGAAGCTGAGTTCTCCAGCTAAAGGCATGACCTATTTAGAACTTCTTAAGATATAATAATGATCAAATGTCAGCAGGGCAGAATGAGTAATGACAGCTTTGAAATTTATCCCTACTTAGACTGGAATGGCTGGGGGTGGGAGGCTGGCACTTGAATGTTGTGTTTTAGTTTACAGCTGTGTAATAGGCTGCCAAACACTCTTGTCCACTTGAAAACACATTAGAGATTTAGGCATGCTATTGTCTGCTTTGAAACCCATATAGAATGCACCATTATTTTCTTGCGATCTGAGATTTTCTTTTGATCTCTTCTTCACAACTTGTTAGTGACTGTCCAAATTGTAGGCTTTCCAAGCAAAGGAACAATAGGGTATTTTCACGCGGCATGAAAATGATCTAATTACTTCCACAAACACAGAGCAAGCTGTCAATCATGTGTTCAGTAGGTAGTTTTCAAGAGTGTATTCAGCTATTTGCTCACCACCTGGGCACTGTTTCAATGCATTTTTCATAGGTTGTGTAAAGAAGCTCTATGATAGGCTGTCCTGATTTCACAGTGAGGGAAAGGGCTAATTATTATGACTCCATCGCAGTGACTCTACATGCAACTCTCTGGTTGCCCCTGCTCTCAGGCCCGGACTGGAGGGAATGGTGGACAGCTATTATCCACTTTCATTTCACATCTGCTCTAGGACCGCACATTGCAGTGTCTAACCCTTTCTTTCCCCAACCCCCAAACTTGCAAGTGGATTTTTACCATTTCAGTGAAAACATACATATGTGTATGCATAATAGGTTGGGGTGGGGGTGAATTTTCATTGGAATCACAACTTCAACAGGATGTAGATAGAAGAGCTAAAGTGAATAAGTACTTTCCCTAATACTGCAGTTCCAGTTCAGATACCCATTCCCAGCTCCTATTTGCCAACGTTTAGGGACACTGGAGATCAATTTACTTCTCTGCAATGTCTCTTGTCCACTTTGCTGGATGGCTCATACAGGCAAGCAAACAAACCATTAGTCTGCAGAATGTTATTTCACAGTGATTGGATCTCCTTCACTGTAGTTTTGCTTTAATGTAATGCTCAGTTGGATTTCAGGATTTGACAAAAGAATATTCATGTTAGCTGTGGGTGGTCCAAAAGGAAATTTCCCTGCAATTGTGGCATCTAAGATGAGTACGGGCCACAACAGACATTACTTTAAATGATGTAGCAGCTACATCTATTTAAAAATACCTTCTAAAGCAGGTACAGGGCACAGATCCAGATTGGGTTCCTAGCATGGTGGATGAAAAGGCTTTTAAGGTCTGGACTGGAGCCCCCTACTGTAGACTAAAAATGAAACAATGTTTCTAGGCATACAATCTGTTTTGGCTCAAAGATCTAACAGTTGGAAGGAAAAGGTGGATCAAGTGTACCGTACTGTACTAAAGATGAAGCACCATAGTATACAGGGTGTCTCTCCGGGGACCTTCGAAGATATCTGGCTTGATACCATCCATGATTTGCTCGCATATTAGCAAATCTTACAAAGATCCTTCAAGCCCCTCTAGTTTGTCTAGCCAAATGATACTAAACCCAATTAGGTTGCTGCTGAAATCCTTCACGGTTCAGGGACGGGGGGGATGGAGCAATGTAGAAACCACCACTTCTTCCCTGCATTGGAAAAACACAAATTAGCCGGTAGGCTGCTTCGTAGGTCATACGTACTAGGGGGTTGGGGTGGGACAGGAGACTGGTTCAGAACATTGGGATCATAGCTCCATCCGTCCATTCATCCATCCATCTAGTGCTATTGTTTTAGAAAATATTTTTCAGATAAAATCTTTTTCCCCATATTCACTAATCTTGGAAAAACTGAAGCAAAGCTAAAACAAACACAGCATTGAACACTTAATGTTTTACTGTTTACCTCTCCATTCCAGTAAAAGAAAAAAAGAGAAGAAAAAGGAGTGACCAGACTTTGCATCTCTAGCAGTTTTAAAAGTTCTTACAGAAAATACTAAGTACTTCAAACCAACCATGAAATGTCATAGTAACAGCCTTTTTCCCTCACAAGACAGGGCAGACCAGCTTCACAGATTCATTAGGATGAGAACAGCTTCCTGGTGATCTGGGGCGGCTTCTCTGTTCATTTGCCAGTGCACAACTCTGAGCAGGTAGAAAGCAGTTAGGAAGGCAGTATTCCAAAGGAGCATCCCTGCAGACTTGCATAATCCTAAACAGTCTACCAGGAACCTTTTGGCAACATTTCCTAGCAAACCTTCAGACTGTATTAATGGTAAAACTCCTGTCACTGATTCCGTGCAGGCAAGACTGATAGGCTGCCCTTGTGCGCATTGTTTCCACTTAAGAACTCACAGAAGTGGAGAAAGAACGTTTATAGGAGTTTCTTTTCTGCAGAACCAAATTTTCTTGTCCTTCTGATTCATAGGGCTTTTTGGCACAAGGCTTTTAACTGGACACTTTACTGAAGCTTCTGTTTCTGGGTAATTTACAGAAACCTGTTCCACTTTTCCTTTACATATGCATTTCTCCAGGCATTTTTTCTTTTTCTGCTTCTATATATGTTCTATTATGAAACCACAAGGTGGCACTGTGAGATAGCAGATTTGCAAAAATACATAAGCCTTTAGTTCAGTTCATTTTTCCTTTGTCAGATAATACCAAACTTACTTGGCTTCCCCAAAAATAAAATAAAATGAAAAACCAGAAACATTTGGAAAACACTTGTTTGGAGATGCCCTAGAGGATGACAAGGTTGTGTAAAGTACCCACAAACTACCACAAATGAGGAATCCTGAGCATACAATGAATGCCTTGCATGGAGAACCCCATGCACTAATGATCTGTATAAACAACAGTGGCAGTTTCACAAGGGACACCATTACCCTCTAGCTTTCCATATAGATCAGCTGCCACCAGGGTCAGTGTTGGCACTCACCCCCTTGGTAGCTTACAGAGCCAAGGACCATTCTGGCTGGGTCCTTCGTTAACATTGCTACCTGGGGCCTCTTGATTCTTGTTTAATTCTTGTTTAATTCTGCTTAAAGCACTTATTTTGCCCAAGTGCTTTAAGCAGCATATGGTAGAAGGGCCTTAGTGCCAGTCTAATTTCCTGACATAAAGTCACTCTGGAGTATTGCAGGACACCAAAATGGCTGCCACAAGCACTTGGGTTGGGTATTGATTGGGGCATTGCCCCTGCCTGCTTCAGCTGCCCCCAGAGCTCAATTAATAAGAAGAGGGTCCTCTGGAGGGCCCCTTTCCTCAGTCCTTCTCAAAATAGGAGCTAACTCTTGCTTCCACTGTGTGGTTTATCTCCCTACCACTTCAGAAGTTATGTGGTTTGCTGTGACATGAGCATAACAGTGGCCCTTCACGTTGGCAAACCACTTACCAAGCGGAGCAGGTGACATTTCCAGCCATTTCCCTGTGCAGTCTTTTTGTATAAAGCAGGCTTCTGTCCCAACTCTGCCCTTCAAGGAGATTATTTCCTATCCAGGGCATTATATTAAAGAACAGAATTATTGGCATCAGCTATCCACTTCAAAATTGCATCTAGTTCTTCATTTAGAAAGCAGTGAGTTGTCAGAAGTAGACTTTACACAATCCAGACAACCACTTAAAGATTATGGCACCACTTTTGACACTATCTACGTGTCTCAAGAAGATAAATCTTATTACATTCTTTTCCAAGAGACAATGTTATTAAAAATAGACTAAATGAGTCATGGGATACCTTATCAGTATTTCCTTATATCTTTCTTTTTTAACCTACCAATTAAAGAAATACTGACCTTTCAGCATTAACTGTGACTATGGTGTTTGTCTTCTTCCCAATATAATAAGAATCTCTTCTGGAAGGAATCTGGACAAATGATGGGAACTGTAAGGAAAAGCTGACATATGATCACACTGAGTACTGCTAACCTTTGTAAAGAAAACAGATTTGAGGCCAGTTCTGACTAGCACCTGTAATGCTGCTTACACTAACAGATAAACAACTATTAGTCTTCTCAAATGAAAGAAAACATATTTTTTCCCTGTAGAAGTGTTATGTAAGTGCTATATATACAATGTTCAAGCATAGTTCTTTATATAAAACCTGATATTCACACCTTACTGCATTAAACATTCTTCTGAATATTTAGTATGGTATTTCAGCTGTAAATACAGATTTGCTATGATGTACTAAATTTTGACATTTTTAGTGCAGAAGATTATAGGTTACATGTTAGGATACCTGGTCTATTCGGAGGATGGTCTTCCCTCAGAATATGAAAAAACTAGTCCATTCCAGAACATTATGGTGGTCTTTTCACTAAGGGAAGGCTAGTGTGGTGTAGTGGTTAAGAGTGCTGGGCTGGAATCCAGGAAACCTGGTTTTAGTTCCCATTCAGCCATGGGTGACTTTGGGCCAGTCACAGACTTGTAGCCCAACATACCAGACAGGGCTACTGATGTGAGGATAGGATTAAGAGGAAGAGAAAAATTATGTTCCTTGAAAGGAACAAGGCAGGATATAAATATAATAAACAAACATTGAAGTCTTCATTTTTCAGGAAGCTCAGATGCATAGAAGCACAGTACTCAATTCAAATATCACAACAACTCGCTGAGTTTTATAAGCCAGGGTGAGTTACTATTATTTGATTTAAATGTAGGTTGAGTTTGTTCTAATGGGTTAAGTTTGGGTTATAGGCCAAACAGGCAACCTATGGCTTGTTCTAGGAGTTGTTTCATCTACAACAGGTTTTCACGTCACCTGAATCCTGATGACATGACTCATCATGGGTGAAGACAAGGTTAGCAGGCTAGTGGCAAAAACCAACCACACTTGTCAAGTGACTACCAGGTGAGTACCACTACCAACCACTCCAAAAGTGCCCAAGTGGTATTTTGGGGCAGGTGACAGAAGGTTCTTCTGCTCCCCATTGTGGCCATGAGTCATTTCGTATTTGCCATGGCTTTTTCCTTTTCAATTGTTTTCACCAGTGATTGCAAAAAGCAGTTGGAAAGTCACCTTTCATGATTCCCATATGGGGAGTTCCTCTAAAGTGTTCCAGGATTGCCAGGATTACTCCCTCCATTTGCACAAATACTTGCTCACATAATTATTTTTTAAAATTTATCTGAATAAATTTGGGCAAATCAAGCAGGTATCTGCCCTTTTCACAGCCCAGCCAGGGCTGCAGGTGAATTAACTTATCCATTGTAAGCATCTGACAGCTGTCAGAAGTGAACTGTCAAATGCTTCCAAAGCCCAGAGTGATCTTCGTTTGCAAAGGAGGGAGGTTCAGGTTATGGGAACAGATCATGTGCCTCAAGCATTCTCTTACTTTTGCAAGTGCCCCCAAGATTCTACTTTCTTGGAGACATAAAGGGATCATGAATCAATAACTGTCTTCTGTAGTACAAGAGCTGTCAAATTGCAAACTTCCATCTTCAAGGTGGGATTCCTTTGTTGTTGCTATGTGCAAATCTGACTTACAGTGATCTGATGAATTAATGCCCTCTGAAATGTCCTGTCATTGGTAGCCTTATGCAGCTCTTGTAAGCTGGAATTTCTATGAAGTTAAACATTATTTTTAGCAGCAAAATATGGTAGTAATTCTCTATAGCTATACTTTCCTCCCCCAAAATGTGTGCAAACAGTGGTATTCCAGAGTGTTGGATCTGCACAAATCTGGCTAGAGAGACTTTTTAAAAGTAGCAAATATTGGCACATATTATGGATTGCAAAAAAATTAAGGGGGTAAGCCCCTCAAATATACCAGTGGTCATCTTGGAAGGACTGCTCATACCTGCTCAAATGGATCTTGCAAAAGTGTTTCATCTCAGTGCTTAAATGGAGTTGTTACTTTTTATCTTTAACAGCTTCATGCTGGGAAGGTACATCACAGTTCTTTCCATGTGCCCACTGAATTTGGTCAATGTTTATTCGTGATTTTTCTTTTTTGTTCATCTTGTATAAGATTGTCCTAAAATTTGAAAATAGAAAGAAGTCCAGATTTAAAAGTTCAGGTGTAATAGACAATGGACTGGGAATTACATCAATTTTATGGACTTTTTATTAGGCCACTGTGTGAACAGAATCTTGGACTATGTAAGGTTTTGGTCTGATCCTTCAGGATTCTTATGAACTCTCTCAGCTCAGAAAATGCATTCCTGCCTTATTCTACGTATTGGAGGTCTGATCAACCTGAGTTGTTTCCATCTGAAGGCTAAATCTGTCACGGTGGTACATTTGCATGTACTCTGCAGCCCAAATTTTAGCTTCTCTTTTGGCATAATAGACTGTTACATTTGATACAGAATTTTGCTCCATTTATTTATACTGTTTCAGGTAGCATTGTTCACTCAAACAGTGCTATGTTTAGGGGATATACAGTTGACTGTGGCAGAATGGGACTCATCTCCATCCTGGATGATGAAAACTAGCCAGGAACTGGATTTTGGTCATCTGCTAACCAGCATGACCAGTGGGACTGGCTCTGCCATCAAGCAGAACGAAGTGGCTGCTTCATACAGCTGCTGCTGGGCACCAAGGAAGGATGAGCAGGATCTGGAGGACTGAGCTTTGTTTGTCATGCTCAGCCTGTTTGGTACCTGCCCAAACAAGCTGCCACCATCAGATGCGGGGGACAACACTGTCTTGTCACCAGTGTTGAGGCAAGAATCAACCTCTAGCCCAGTGGCTTTTGAACATGAGATTGAGTTGGGCAGACCCTCTTGCCATTTGCTGCAAGCAATTGAATATTATGGTTCAAAGCTGGTGATCAATGCCTCTGTTTCAGTGAGCAGGGTGCTGAATGGCAGTGAATAAAAACAGTTGCTTGGATTTGTTCCAGCTATTGTATGTGTCTTTAACTCAGACACAAGACTGATGCTTAATAAAAAAGTAAAAGAAGTAAGCCAGTTCTTTGTGTTCTGTTACTAGAACCTTTTCTCAACACCTCTTGTAGAAGTCCGTATCTTTTGCGAACCTTTCTTTCCTCAAGTACTCTTGCTACTGAAATCACTTACTGGGCAGACCATTCAAACAGCATTTTCACAGGAACAGATATAACATGTAAGCTGTGGTTGTACACTTGGCTGGCTTAAAATAGTTAAATGCCTCTCTGGGTAGATATCTAGAAATAGAACATCTAAACCTCTCTTCTTCTTTTTAAGCCTAGCTACAATTCATCTTTTGTACCAGCAGACTATTTGGAACCTTCTTAGTCCTGCTACGAGAGCCTCTAATCAACTTAACATATCTTGCAGCATTTCCATTCCAGCAGGAATGAGAATTCAGATTCAACAAGAACTCCAAGGCTTTCAGAGTCCAGATAAACTCAGGTAAAACTGAGTGCCTCCAAACTGGTCAGGATTTTTTTCCCAGGAATTGCATTGACTTGAAAGAATGGCATCTGTTTAGAAGACAGACAGACCTTGTCTACCTACAGGTTTAATTCAAAATGCTAGTACTGAAAGGTAGTGTCCTTAACGGCTTGGGAGTGAGGCATCTTTGGTACCATTTCTTCCTATATGATCCTTCCCCTACAATAAGAAATGCCTCAGAGACCCTTCACTAGGTCCCACTGCCACTGGAGGAAAAGCTGTTGCCAGTCAGTGTTGACAATATTGAGCCAGAAGGACCAAACTCAGTATAAGGCACCATCCTATTTTCCTAATATAGAAAACCTGAACTGAGTGTGGAAGTGTCTGCAACATATGCCAATCTGCTCATCTGCATCAGTATCCCATGGGCAGGAACAATACTGTTCTGGCATGTGAACAATACTGAAACGTAAAGAACACATTTCACTGAGGGCTACTTGCAACCTGAAATCTATCCCATCCCCTTGAGCTAAAACCGTTCCCAACTGTATTGGAGCAGGATAAGGCTAAGTGGGAGGGGGCAGCAGGCCCATCTCCAAATCACTGCACGTTCAGTAGTGTGTGTAGCTAGGGCTGAAACTGGGGGCTGAAATCTAGGTCCCCACAGCCTGGGGAGCACCAAACAGTCATTGAGAGAGGGCCGGGGCCGAGTGGGACACGGCAGCAGCACCAACAAGCTTGACATCTGCGTGCTGGCTCCTACAGAGGCCGATGCTGCTTGCCATCACACCCTTCCTATTTTAACCCATATTTTATCATCAGATGGCCAATGTCAGGGCATGCTCATGGTTGCAGGCACTCATTTTATCATTACTTTCATGACCTGCCATCATTTTCTGCAATAAAAGAATGGTTATTCCCCAGTAAATGTGATTAGCATCGGGATAGCAGAGTCATGATGGCACTATGATTTAAGTGAGTTTAAAACGCAAAGCTACAAAGGCTTAGACTACTTTTAAAAATTAATCAGGGTTGGCAAACTATTTCTTTTTTGTTTTGCTCTGACCTAAGGAATGGGGAAACAGTTGTGTAGCATGGAAAGTGTGAAAGATGGGAGGAAGAATAGAAAGGTAGTCTGCTGTACAACTGAAGTGATACACATGGCCACCCCCACCCCACCCCACCCAGACCATTAAGTTCAGGGTCTAAATTTAGTTAGCTGCACCAGTGACTATAAGAACTGATTCCCTACATGCATATAAACAGCACACACAAACAGGAATCCTACAAAAAGTAGGAATGTCCAGAAAGCTGGGGTGCAATTTATATGTACACAGGTTTGTTCACAAGGTCTAATTAAGGTGAAGATGAGCTCTTCCTGGTCTCTGTTGCCTCTGCATACACAGTTGTAGCTTTAGTTTAGAGAAAGGCAGTGTGGTGTAGTGGTTAAGAGCACAGGCCTGGGACTCACTCGATCTGGGTTCTAGTCCCTGCTCAGCCATGAAGTCATCTGGGTGAGTTTAGGTCAGTCACAGACTCTCAGCCCAACCTACCTCACAGAGATGTTGTTGTGGGGAAGAGATTCAGAACAGGAGGAAGAGAATTATGGAAACTACTCTGAGTTGTTGAAAAAAGAGGAAAAGGCAGGATATAAATCAACCAAATAACTAACTCAATCAGTCAATAATAGTTTCCAAATAAGCTCCATCTGGATAGCCTTTTTTGGTTTTTCCTTTTTTAAGTTGGTGAGAAGTAGATTTTGCTTTTATTGGAATACATGCACATTGTGAATTTTACATTGCTTATGGAAAGGATGGTGAAGATAAAACCAAAGCAAATAGCAAACCACTCCCCTAGAATACCACACATACTGAACTGTTTTTTCTCCCTATACTACTACTTCTTCCAGGACTCCAGGACAAAAATAGAAACACGGAAAGCTATTGATGCCTTTACATCATTATCATCAATGACCTTGGTGGAAGGTGTATAAAAAGTCTGGAGCTAGAAGGTTCCTCTTACTTGGTCCTTTTCTTTTCAGGGTATGTACCATTTCTCTTACTTCTAAAAAATATACATTTGTAGCCTATAATTCTGTGTTTTCATGGTATGATATTTTATGTTGTTAAGATGTAACTTTTTGTTAGTTCTATAAACTATAAACACAGAGCACTGTATTTAGTAGCAATGAGATTTTGTCAATGCATGCAGGAATCAGGAACTCAACTTGCTGCTAAAGCCCATACAAATGAAACACTCAAAACAGCCAGAAGAGCTGCATGATATTTCCAAGGAGGTTTGTGTCCTTGTGATGCTGAGAATGCACTTGCCACCTTTTCTGTACAAGCCATGTTTTGGAATTTCCTTTTTTTTTTGTTTTTGTTTTGTTTTGTTTTGTTTTGTTTTGTTTTTTAAGATAAATCTGAAAAAGGAATGAAGCTCAGATTCATCATTATAGTGATACTGAAATGCACGTTAAATGCTTTGAAAAAACTGTTTTGGGTAACTCAGAGAGGCTCAGAACTGCTTTGAATATTGATCTCTGCACCTTACTATCAACTACCCAAAACCAGAATGAGGGCAATCTATATAAACCTACAATGTCTGAGCTTCACTTAGGTACCTCTTTTACACTCTGGGAAATATATATCCAGAAAGTAAACAGGCTTTCCAGATCAGATTGTACTCACACTGTATGAGGAACCTTTCAATTAGGCAGTATATTTGTGTGTGTGTGTACTTGTGGAAAACAATTTTCAGTGGAAGCTTTCTGTTTATCTTATCTCTCTACACTTCTCTTTATGTTTCAGCTTTATACTGGCACTTCTGTCTAGCCCAGAAAAGATAACCTGGTTAACATTGATTGCGTTCAAACAACACAATAATCCCAACTCAAGGCCTGATGATGGGTTCAGTGTGGTTTGTCACTGAATTGTTGATGAAACATGGGTTAAAATGTTGTCTGAAACCACGGTAAACTACCCACAGTTCAGAACTCAACAAAAAATATGAGTTCTCTTTAGGGGTTGTTTGTTCAGACAACAAAGCATCCCATATTGCAGCAACAACCTATGGTTCAATGACAATTCACATTCCACCCTTCCTTTAACCCTGAGTGTGGATTATTGTGTTGTCTAAACCCATTCACTGTATAATCATATTCGTGCCTAGACACAGCACATAATTCCCAGGGAAACTAATGCATGCAGAGTTTGATGAAAGTTTCAGTGGATGAAAAGGCCTTTACAGAAGAATTTGCAATGATCTGCACTTATGTTTAGATGGATCATTGAGGATGAAATCCTAAAAACACTTTCCTGAGAATAAGTCCCACTAAATGCAGTGGACCTTACTTCTGAGCAAATATGTGTAGTCTCCTGCTGGCTGTCTCCGATGTTGAACACTTAAAGATTTGGAACAGTGCTAACACGAAAAAGCAATGGTATGGGTTTTCTCATATCTGTTTCCAGTGGGGTAGCCATCTTAGTATTCTGAAGCAAATAAAAGATAATAAAAAAAGAGTTTTCTGGCACCTTAAAAACTAGCAAATTTTTCACACATAAGCTTTCAGGGACAGTGTGCCCCTCATTCAGCATATGACAGGTTATACCAGAATAAATGTGTAAGTCTTTACAGTGCCACAAAACTTGCTGTTCTTCTACCAACTAATATGTGATTGCATGTTGCTTGTACAGTCTAAAGTAAATGGGACTTCTGCCAAAGGTTGATCACAGAGATTATATGAACGCCGACCCCTATTATA